AGTGGACTAGGCCTCCGACCAAAACCTGCCTCTGAAGACCTTCATGGGACAGGAACTGTTATGTCATTGATTTGAATCCAGAAATACAAATTAGCTCATCCAGAGACTTTCTAATTGTATCCTGAACTAATCAATTGAAAGAACACTCTCTTTTCTGATATTATCATTACTATTTTACAATATCTTGATAATCAAAAGTGTGTTTAGTTCATACCATTTTTAAATGTTGAAGTGAACCACTCATTTTAAATCAACTGTGAAACAGCATTAATGATTTTTTTAATCCTCATTTAAATTAGAAATCAAGTTAAATGTCTATTTACAAGGTAATTATGCATTTTGATTTTCTGTCTGAAATGAGGAGGAGTGATGTCGGTCAAAAGTCAGAGACAGTCAAAAACAAGTTGTTAGAATGGGCTGTCGTGTTTTTAAAACTCTCATACAGTAAATAAGAAAACTGGCACCTGCAGTGTTTCTCACTTCGCCAAAACATTTCTGTCTGTTCCTAAACATTTCTGCTGTTTTCTTGACTTGTAAAAACCCTTTGACTTCACTAGAACCACACCCCTGTTGGTTGCTTCAACCAATCAGGACTTACTAAAAGTGACCGGAAGCAGAACTCTTTAAAAGTCGACACTTCCTGGAACTATTAGAGTTTTCTGAGTCTCCTGGAGTCTTCTGGGGTTATGTGTAGTAGTTCTGGAGTTTTTCCATTGCTGAGTGGAACTTCGGACTCAGTTTTCCAGTCTGATGGAGTCACGGCGCCTCGCTGTGGCTCCACCAGGCGAATGCCCTACAACTTCTGAGGAAGTTTGTTCTGTTGAACGGAGTATCTCACGACTTCTGCCGAGTCGCAGCCACCCTGAGGAGATGCTGAAAGGTAGCGTGCCAGGGACCTCTTGACCGTAGCGGACCCATCCTCTGCCAAGGTAAAGAGTCGTCGCGAGCTTCACTACAAGTGTACCGCGGGCGAACTGCACTTGAAAGGAGCGTGTTGTTCTGGTCTACAGACATAAATCTTCCTTCAACATCTCCCTTTAAACTCTTCCATATTTCCCATCTTTAAAACTCTTCTATCTTGCCAGTAATTAATCCAGATATCTTCAGAAATGTCTGTTGTTTTTATTAAGTAAAACGTGGCAAGTTTAATTAATCAGAACCAGACCAGTCTAATCAAGTGTACAATGTTTTGATGTTAAATTTTGATTCTGTTAATAAATGACCACATTTATTTTGATGGGTCAAAGAAAATTAACGTCTCATGTCACTGATTAAACCATCCACGCACAGTACCTCTGTCACATATCTGTAAGTAGCTCGAAAAAGAGAGAACCCGTTATTTAAATATGACTGTAGTGAAGCTCTGAAGCTAACCTAGCCTTTTAGAACACTACAATGTGCTGTATGCCATAATCATCAGTATTAAAACAATTAAAGACCTGAAATATTTCAGTTGGTGTGCAATGAATCTGAAATATATGTAAGTTTCAATTTTATCATTACATTATGGAAAATAATGACCTTTATCACAATATGCTAATTTTTTGAGAAGGACCTGTATGTCCTTAGACTCTCACCAAACTGAATTTATTTACAGTCTGAGTCTTGTGAAGTTTAGGTTTCAACAGAAGGATCTACATAATTTTCATGTTTCATTCATTCTCATCACTGAATGTCCACTTTGGATGCCGAGTCATTTTATGATGCATGAGGTTGAATTTAAGAAGGCCATGGGTTTGAAAAGGGAGTACTTGCAACTTTTGAGTATCCATTGTGTAAAGGGCCTCTTTAAAGTGGGGGTCTCTTTAAGCTTGTCTAAAAACTCGATTTGGGGATTTTTTAAATGATCAGTTTTTCATTTTGTAGCGTCCTTTCTGGATCATGCTGAAAATCAATACATGACCTCTTGCTTACTCTGTGCTTACTGCTTTTCAGCTTCTGTGATGCACGGCTCTTTGACTCACACAGCTGAGCTATGATTGTCAGTAATATTTTCTTCTCTGTGATACGTAACTGACAAATTCAGGCAGCAACACCCATATATCCTTTAATATGAGTGTTATTCAAAATACAGTATAAACCTCTGTGGTTCACACTGCTCTCACCCACCTGGAGCAAAAAGACTTGCGTCCATATGCTCTTTGTGGACTTCACATCTGCCTTCAACACCATGATCCCCCAAACCCTGATGGACAAACTATTCACACTAGGTCTAAGCCCCTCCATTTGCAACTGGGTCTTAGACTTCTTAACAAACAGACCTCAGTCTGTGAGGATCCACAACTTTTCCTCCTCCACCATAACCCTCAGCACTGGCTCTCCTCAGGGATGTGTGTTGAGCCCTCTCCTTTTCACTCTGCTCACATATGATTGTGCAGCTACTAGGGCATTAACAGATTACTCGAGTAATCTACACATCGATTGCTAGGACATCTATCGATGTTAAAAATGTAACGTCAGGTACCCGTAGTGACGTCATATTATGTGACCACCGTATGACCGTAGGGGGCGGTGTTGTACTGTTGCAGGTCACAGAGTATGGTGTAACACCGGGTCCGATCCACCGAACCAGAACCAGTTTCGGTTTAAGTTTCGTTTTTGACGTGCTGCATGTTTCTTCACGTTTGCAGTTTAATAATAATAGTTTAGTTTTCCTGTGACTTATTTGCAGTATGATAAATGGTAGGAGCATAATATACGCTCCCAATGTTTTGTTGGTCTTTTTTTTTTTGTAACTACTTTTTTGCGGTTTTATTTATTTATTTATTTTTGTATCTTGAGATCTATGACGTCATCAAATACTCGAGTTCTACTCTGGTTTTATTATGTTAATGTCGAGTTTAAAAATCATATACTCGTTCAACCCCTAGCAGCTACCCATCCAGGCTGTCACATTGTAAAGTTTGCAGATGATACTGCGGTGGTGGGTGGAATCACAAACAATGATGAGTCCAGCTACAGGCAAGAGGTGGAAAACCTGGAGAGCTGGTGCAGGAAGAACAACCTCCACATCAATATGAAGAAGACAATATAGATGATTGTGTGCATAGATGATTGTGTGCACATGAATGACAACCTCTGCTGGGCAACAACACTTCCAGCCTGATCAAGAAAGCTCATCAGAGACTTTACTTTCTCAGGCGACTGAGGCGAGCTGGTCTGGGAAGCTCAGTCCTCACCTCCTTCTACAGGTGTGCAGTGGAGAGCATCCTGTGCTCCAGCATCAACGTGTGGCATGAAGGCTGCACAGCTGCAGAAAGAAAAGCTTTGCAGAGAGTGGTGAAGGCTGCACAGAAGTCTGTTGGCATCAGCCTCTCCACCATCACAGACATCTACACCTCTAGATGCAGGAAGAGGGCCACCTGCATCATGAAGGACCCCACTCACCCAGCACACACACTTTTTGCCCTGCTCCCCTCAGGAAGGAGGTTAAGAAGTATTAAGTGTAGAACCACTAGACTGAGGAACAGCTTCTACCCTGAGGCTGTTACACTCATGAATCTCTAACTAGGATAATCACTGTGAAAAATCACATCATGTTGCTGCTGATCTGTTTCATGTTGCTGCTGATCTGTTTCATGTTGCTTTGTTCATGCATGCTCATCTGCTCACACAGACTCATGTTTGTGCTGCTGTTCGGCGTAATGTTTTTTTTGCTACTAGTGCTTAGTGTATATTTAGTTGATGTTTTTCTTAGTTCATATCTTTGATCTTATTACTGTTTTTCTTTTACATTTTATTGTTGGATGTAACTGGGACCCTGTGTACATAATTTCGTTCCACCACATGTACCGCATGGGGTGCGAATGACAAAGAGCCTTGAACCTTGAACCTCGTTTCATGCAGAGTATTTTTCCAATACAGTAGTACTTCGCGGTTCGTTTATCACGGACTCACTCTATCTCTTGATTTTTCAAAGACTGGTCATGACACACTATTGGCTGATTCATGGATTAGCTGCACAATCGGCATGGAATTTTTATTTAAAATAAATTGCTTAAAATTATTTAGCACCTGCTGCACCTGTGTTCAGCTCACAACTGCAGGAGATTCTTCCTCCTGCAGCTGTCATCTCTCCGCTCTGCTGCGTAGAAGTGGGCGTGGCCTAGAGCTGAAATCATGACATTCTGTGCTCCTTTACAGTGTTTAGAGTTTAGAAACATTGTCTAGAATATTGCAAGAATGTGAGAAGAGTTTTAAATGCCTTTA